TGCTTGACCATTGTAACTGCTTACTTAACAAATTTTCTTTAAGGGACATGTCATTCTATTACTAATGTATAAATAAGGGGGGAAAGTGTGAGGTATTTTGAGGAAGTTGGACTCTTCTGGACTCTCTCTCTGGATACATCTTGCAATCGAGAGCCACTCGAGAGCCACACTCAGCTTCGATAATTATCGAGGGTTGGGGGTGTTTTACAAACCTGTTGCAGACGTGTGTGCTTGAGACTAAGTAAAGTGTAGGTTTAAGTGAAAGCACTCTTGTGTTGTCCTGTTTGTGCCAGCCATCTATCAGTTGGACAGCCGTGTCTCCCATGATTTATTTCCTGACACCACCTCACATAGTGTAAAAGTTACCAAGAGCTTTAGGTTGAAAGAACCCTGGGTAACAACATCAAGCGGGGAGTGGATGCAAAGATGTTACAGGACAGGATTAGAATCCAAAATGACCTTAACAAATTGTAGAATTGGTCTGAATTTAACAAAATGAAATTCAATCAGCCAAATGCAAAGTAATTCATTTAAGATAGAAAAATCAAATGCACGCCTATAAAAATGGGAATAACTGGTCACACGGTAGTACTGTTGAAAAGGATCTGGGGTTATAGTGGATCACAAATTGAATATGAGCCAACAATGTGAAGGCTGATATTCTAGCATATATGAACATGAGTGTCGTATTTAAGACACAGGAGGTAACTGTCCAATACTACTCAGCCCCAGTAAGGTCTCAGGTGGAGCATTGTGTTCAGTTTTGGGCACCACAGTTTAACTACTAACTGTGGTATGCAACCTATTGCTTAAATCAGCATCTGTGCCAGTTGACTGGAGGAAACCTAATGTGATGCCAATTTTTAAAAAGGATTTAAGAGGTGATCCTGGACATTACAGGCCAGTAAGCCTAACTTCAGTACCAGGCAAACTGGTTGAAACTATAGTAAAGAACAGAATTATCAAAAACACAGATGAACATATGTTGGGGAAGACCCAACATGGTGTTTGGAAAGAGAAATCATGCCTCACCAATCTACTAGAATTCTTGGAGGTGTCAACAAGCACATGGACATGAGTGATCCAGTAGCTACAGTTTACTTGGACTTTCAGAAAGCCTTTGATAAAGTCCCACACCAAAGTCTCTTAAGCAAAGTAAGTAGTCATGGGATATAAGGGAAGGTCCTCTCATGGATCAGTAACTGGTTAAAAGACAGGAAACAGTGTAGGGAATAAATGATTAGTTTTCACAGTGGAGACAGGTAAATAGTGAGGTCCCCCCCAGCATCTCTGGTGGGACCAGTGCTGTTCAACATATACATAAATGATCTGGAAAAAGGAGTAAACAGTGAGATGGCAAGGTTTGCAGGAGATACAGAAATAACTCAAGATAGTTCATTCCAAAGCTGAATGCAAAGGGTTACAAACTGGGTGACTGGGCAACAAAATGGCAGATGAAATTCAATGTTAATAAATGCAAAGTTATGCAGTGCAGTGACAGGCAGATAATTAAAAATACAAACATTTCCCATTACATTTTGGGTAGTTCCATGCTGCCTTTCTGCTGTGCATCATGCAATGGACAGAAATTATAAAGCGATGCAAAATTATTTCCCCCACCCTTGGCATGTTGAGTCCCCATGATGGTTTGCTTCCAACTTGGTTCCCCTCACCGATAAACAGGGGCTAGGAAGTTACAAAATAGAAAGAGGAAACAAGAGGTTTGACAGAACAGAGCCACGCTAGAAACAGGGGGACAGCCAGGGGACACAACTGGGGGGACGGCAGCTAAACACTCATTCCTGCTTCAACACGGCTTCCCATCCTGCTTTGCAAGTGCTCACACAGAGACTGGATTTTGGGATGTGCTAACTCTTCACCCGCTCTCTCTCCAGCTGACCTATGAGTGGCCTGACCCATCCTCCCCATTCCTCCCTTTGGCTGTGCAGTTTAAATATCTGCCCCACACCTCCTGTCCTGTCATTTGTGCTTCTGAAACATAACAACTGTGAAGCCTCACACCTCTTCAACCTGGGGGGGGGGGCACACTCCAATCTCTAACCCACAAGTCCCCAAATCTTCCTCAACACAGAGCAGTGGCTTCTTCTTTTTATCCTTGGTTCACTCCCGAAATGGGAACCAACCACTGGGTATTTATACCTATGCAGACAAGACTCCCTTTGCTTGCATCCTTACACCACAGGCAAGGACAGCCTCCAAAGAAATTAAGGGGGGGGAATAACTAACAGAACAAGAACTGAGGGGTAGGGGGAGTGATTCCTAATTTGTATGTGTCTTCTTTGGATATGCAAATAAAAGCCTCACTGTATTTTTATGGAAGGTGATGGAGGTGGGGGAGGGGAAAGGTGACGTTAAAAGCCTTTGGGGAATTCTATTTGATGTGCTGTTCCCGATCCCCCCAGTGTTGGTGCAAAATACACCTGCTAAGCTTCCCCTACTTGACAGGTGGGCTTCACATTCCCAGGGACTGCAAAAGTCAGCATAGAAAACAGGTCAGGGTTCCCGCTGATCTCCTTATAAATGGCAGTGGTCTCTGAATCCCAAATGCATCTGTCATAAATATAAAGGGAAGGGTAAACCCCTTTAAAATCCCTCCTGGCCAGAGGAAAAATCCTCTCACCTGTAAAGGGTTAAGAAGCTAAAGGTAACCTCGCTGGCACCTGACCAAAATGACCAATGAGGAGACAAGATATTTTCAAAAACTGGGAGGAGGGAGAGAAACAAAGGGTCTGTGTCTGTCTATATGCTGCTTTTGCTGGGGATAGACCAGGAATGGAGTCTTAGAACTTTTAGTAAGTTATCTAGCTAGGTATGTGTTAGATTATGATTTCTTTAAATGGCTGAGAAAAGAATTGTGCTGAATAGAATAACTATTTCTGTCTGTGTATCTTTTTTGTAACTTAAGGTTTTGCCTAGAGGGATTCTCTATGTTTTGAATCTAATTATCCTGTAAGGTATTCACCATCTTGATTTTACAGAGGTGATTCTTTTTTTACTTCTATTAAAAGTCTTCTTGTAAGGAAACTGAATGCTTTTTCATTGTTCTCAGATCCAAGGGTTTGGGTCTGTGGTCACCTATGCAAATTGGTGAGGATTTTTACCAAACCTTTCCCAGGAAGTGGGGTGCAAGGGTTGGGAGGATTTTGGGGGGAAAGACATGTCCAAACTACGTTTCCCAGTAAACCCAGTTAGAGTTTAGTGGTGGCAGTGGATATTCCAAGGACAAAGGATAAAATTAATTTGTACCTTGGGGAAGTTTTAACCTAAGCTGGTAAAAGTAAGCTTAGGAGGTTTTCATGTAGGTCCCCACATCTTTACCCTAGAGTTCAGAGTGGGGGAGGAACCTTGACAGCATCTGTGCAAGAAATTCTCCTTTTTCTGCACTCAGGGCCTTCCTCTCCCAGCTCGGCCCAAATCCCAGCTGTATCTCACCCCCATAGAGATTTTGCTTTCTTTATATTCAGGGTCTTCCTTCCTTCTCTTGCCGTCCCTTGCTGGTGTGAGAATGATCACGGAGCTAAAATCACCCCTCCAGTGTCCCTTTGAGCCCCTGACCTTTACAACATTTACCAAACAACATAATTACAGGCTCCCAGGGTCCACTAGGCTCTCTCACTCCGGTAACCAGTACAACAGATTCACCGGCAAAAAGGGATTGTTAAACACAAAATGAGGGAGGCAGAGAAAGATGCTCTTGAGGTTTCGGCCTTCTGAGGTCTTGTCATGGCATCAGGGAGCCATCTCTCCACCCTCCGCCCCACGCAGGGCACCACGCAATGTGGGGGAGCCGATCTGATGTGTCCGAGGCCAGTGGGGGAGAGCCGTGCTTGATTACTGATAATAATAATAATTAATAATAATGAAGAAAAGAAAAAAAGAAGGTAAAACAGGACGCAAGGAAGGATTATCTTCGGCAGCATCTTGCGGTGGCTTCTCTGGCGCAGAGAGAGAATATATATCTATATACAGGCAAGGCAGGGAGGCCAGGGCAGCTGGACCTGCGACCTTTCACCCCATGCCCCCCTTCCCTCCCAGGTCCCTCACAAGGGACAGGCTCTTGAGTCTGTAACGCGCTAGGTGATCAAGTCCCAGTCAAAATCGTCGGGGATTTCCTCATTGGCGCCTGGAGGAGGGATTGGAGGTCGGGGGACCAGATGGTGAGCTGAGTGGAGGGGGAAGAGGGAGAAAAAGGGAAAGAGATGGTTAGCGGAGAAGTCAAGCTCTGTCCTAGTGGGTTCTTGGGAACAATAAAAGGGGAAGGACTCAGCTGGCGTGAACTTCCCCAGAGAAGTGACCTGCCAGGACACACGCAGCACACGTTTCCACCCCAAGGCAGTGTCCTATCAGTGTCCAGATTGGGAGCAGGGGTTCAAGTGATCTAAGGGTAACTGCAGCAATGGGAGATTCCCCATGAGCTGCCCTCAACAGTGTTCAGTCAGCATCTAACTAAGGCCTAAGGAGTCTGGCAGCATGAGCTCCCTCACAGCAGTGCCCAGTGAGCACCCAGCTGTGGGAAAGTGGTGTGACGGGGCAACGAGATGGGGCGGTGGCGGTGAGAGGAGTCGGGCAACTGAGCTTGCTCTCACCAGTGCCGTGGCAGTGTCCTGCTGCGGGACCTCCTGCAGGCTAGGCTCCCTCAGCCCTACTCCAGCTCTCTACCAGCAGTCCTGGACTCCCTCCACCCAGCTCTGCCAATGCCCCTCAATCCTGCCCTGCAGACCCTCTGGTTCTTTACCACTGGCCCCCTCACATATAAGGAAATAAAATGTTCATATCAGAAAATACCAAGGTTGGAAGGGACCTCAGGAGGTCATCTAGTCCAACCCCTGCTCAAAGTAGGTCCAATCCCCAATTTTTGCCCCAGATTCCTAAATGGCCCCCTCAAGGATTGAACTCACAACCCTGGGTTTAGGAGGCTAATGCTCAAACCACTGAGCTATCCCTCCCCCTGAAATTATGCTTAAGGCATCAAGATCAAGTGCCCAATGTGGGGCTCGAACCCACAACCCTGAAATTAAGAGTCTCATGCTCTACCAGCTGAACTAGTCAGGCTGTCTGCCTCATTCGATTTTCTCTGCTTGTTTCAGAACAGAAAACAACATCACTAAAAAGAGATGCAAATTCATTTCCTTCCACTTCTGCTGGGGAAAGGGTACAGAGCTTTGCAAAGCTCATCATATTTTTCTTTACTCTTTTATGTAATTTATTTATGGTGATGGGGAGGAAGGTGTTAGGAAACAACATGTTTATATCCACAAAGGGGAAAATGAGGGTGCAGTGTGTTGATATGGGGAGACCTCCTCATTTTTCCCAAGATATGCGCTAAGACATGCACTTCACTTCCCCTTGGCTGCAAATCAAGGATGTGGTCTGGCTTGAGTGAAAGTCACTGGAAGGTAGTAAAGGTATTTTTCATGTGCTGGTCATTCTCATTAGAACCTCATATGCCATCAAGTTACAGACAGGCAGACAAACAAACAGAAATGGCACTGAAGTGAGTGTAAGGTTTTGCACAGACAAACAGAAATACTGTCAAATTGAATGTAAGGCCCCACTGTGCTTGGCCAAGTAGTCTGTAACTTCTCACTGCATGATATTACTGAGGTAAAAAGCAGATTAATAGTAACAAGATTTGACACCTACATGAATCAGAAAGCTGTACTATCTTCAGTGATGCTACTTACAGTAAAAATGGCTAAGGCTATCAGTCCTATGATTCTATGATTCCTCATGCTTCAGAGTGAAATCTTATCATCAGTTGGTGGTTGGGAAGAAATTTCCTTGCATTGAGGTGCATTATGGGGTTTTGTGTCTTCTTTTTGAGTTTTGTGTCTTCTGTGACACATGGTATTCCAAATTAGATGGTCCAGGTTAATGGGAGTTGGGATATAAGATTAGATGGATCTAATACGCAGGAGACAGTATACACAACCAGGTGGATCAATGTTCTGATCTGCTACACCAGACAAAATAGACCAGTAATGTGATGTGGTCGAGCAGGCTATGGGATACTGAACTAGATGGAGCAATGATCTGTGTTATCATGGCAAGAGGCAAGAGACAAAATCTACTGCTTTGATCTCACGCGGTGAGTCCAATTTCCTTATGAAAACTTCTTGTAAGCACCATATTTGTCCACATGCCACTATTGCTTTATCTCAGCAGCATTAGGCCAGATGTTTTGCAGCTCAAGTCATCTGATTACAGAAGTGACTCATTCTTGTCCTTCCGCTTGGGTGCGAAAAATCTTCAAATAATGGACTTAAAGTCAGTTCCTAAACTGACCATATAAGTTTTTCTCTGATGACTCCAGAGCCAGTGCTTAAGACAAGACCTATGATCAAGGTGGTTCTTGCTCCCCAGTCCACTGAGGAATCTGCTGTACCAGGGTATGTACAGAAGGCAGACAGCATTCTATCTCTGTGTTCTGCAATTTCTCTCGGTTGCTCTTTCCCTCCATCTGTTGCTCTTAAAGTGTCTCTCTCTCTCTCCCTATCTTTGTAGTCATTTGTTACTGCCTCCATGCCTTCTTAAAGCATCTCTCTCTCCCTGTGCCTCTCTCTTTTAGGGATCTAGAAAACCTTGGGTGGGAGAGTGTGACAGGACCCTCTAGACGGATTCATCCAGCTCCCTGTCTTGGAGCAGGATTGATTTCAGTGTATATAAAGCATCTTCTTTTGACTATCCACTGTGTAGATTCTGAGAGGCAGCTTGGTCCAGTGGCCAGGGCAGCGTTCTCTCTTGGCTCTGTGTGTGTATCAGCGAAGGAGGTTACTCCATAGCAGCATTCCCCTCCCCCCCAGGAAGGATAAGGGACCTGCTAGTACAATAAGCAGGACAGGGTTGATCTTTAGCTGGAATAATAATGGCCTGTGATTTGGAGTTGAAGGAGCAGGCTTTTAGCCTCAGCCCTCCAAGGGGTGTGTGGTTTATACAGTAACTTTGCCTTCTGCCTGCACAACTGGGATTTATTACAACTTGACAAGGAATAGTGAGACCTGGGTTCTATTCCCTCTGTGTCACTGACTCCATGAGGGACCCTGGGGATGTCATTTAAAGTGCATTTCTGCTCTGAAAAGCGGCATTGTGAGTCCCACATTGACCGTCTCTCTCAAGGATTTATGTATGTATCAAATGCACTGTGGTGACAAGGAAAACAATGTCCTTTTTTTCTAACTCCCAGGCCAACAAACCTGGGGCTTGTCTTCACGTACAGCGCTACAGGGACACAGCAGCACCGGTGCAGCTGCCCCACTGGAGTGCTCCTTGAGGAGGCTCCTATGCCAATGGGAGAGCTTCTCCCACCTGCATAGTTAATCCATCTCCCCGTGAGACAGCAGGTGTGTTGGTGGGAGAAGCTCTCCTATCAATGTAGTGCAGTCTCCACTCGGGGGACTAGGTCGATGTAACTCTGTCGCTCAGGCCTGTGGATTTTTCACAGCCCATTGCGATGCAGTTATACAGATATAGGTCTGTAGTGTAGACCTTGCCTTCTTCTGGGATCTTGCAATGCACACCTCAAATCTATTCAAAATGCTACTCTTCCTGAGTAGTCTCTCTGACCACGTCACCCCCACACCCACCAGCCCTTTGTTTCTCTCCACTGGCTTCTCTTCTTCACTGTATCAAATACAAACTACTAGTCTTTACTTTGAAGGCAGCTTAGCCCTCCCTTACCAAGCCTTTATTGGCCATTTTCCTCAAGCACCTTCATGCTTTCAGCTATGCTGCCCCTTATCTTGGGAGCAGCTCCCCCATCACAATTCATAGTGTCCCTTCTTAAAACTCACCTCTGCTGTGATGCCTACAGATCTCTTGACAATGGGTAGGCAGTTGATGTGGTAAGACTTCTGCTTATTATGTTAACCATTATTGTTTCTCTTGTCCTCCCCTCCTTTGTGTTTCATCCATCTTTTGTTTCAGCGTATGTTACAGACTGTAAACCTTTGGGGCAGGGCCCGTTTGATTTTTATTGTGTGTGTTCAGTACCTGATTGGAGCCTAGTTGCTAGTGTAACAGAAATGTATATGATGATAATAATAACAACAGAATCACACTGGGTTCTCTCCTTCTCTTGCTTCACCAGCACTAATAAAGACGTTGCATGCTGAATTAGACCTTTGGTAACCCCTGTGCAACTTCACTCTCTTCCGATCATGCCCTCAGTGATACTTCTGCAACCTGATGCTTTGGGTTTGGCATCGGTCTAACTGCCTGGAACTTATAAACAATTCTGTTAATGCACAGGAAGAAATAGAATCAAGCTCCCTTTCACTGAGCTATCTTGGCTCTGCTCGGGGAACATGAGTAAAAAGCTGTCAAAACTGTTTTAGTCATTCAAGTGAGTAAATCTCGCTCTGAACACATCCAAGGGTTGAGGGAGAGGTGTTGTTTTTACATTGCCGCTTTTCAGAGTAAAACTGTACTTTAATCTCTCTGTGCCTCTTTCTTCATCTAGAGAGAATCATAGAATCACAGGACTGGAAGGGACCTCGAGAGGTCATCTAGTCCAGTCCCCTGCACTCATGGCAGGACTAAGTACTATCGAATGACACTTTTTCACTTATGTAGAGGTCTTTGAGATCTATGGACAAGAAGTACCAAGTACTGTTATTACTCCATATTCCAATTTCTCTCCTTCTCTCAATATCCCTCTTTATTTACCTGTCTTTTTCTATCCATCAATTTCTTACTCTTCATCCTGTGTCTCTCCTTCCTTGGAATAGTGGGGGTTGGGAGATGCTCAGGATTAAGCTGCTAGGAAAGCAGGGGAGAAGGAAGGTTTACACAAGACTTTTGCTGGAAATGTCCCCTTCTGTATGGAATCGCTGACTCCACTGTTCTAGTTGTAACATCATGGAAACAGTTGCAAACCAGAGGCTCATGGGAATACAAAAATTGCTTTCAAGGCATAAACCTCACCACCCAAGAGAGAGGGAACCACTTCTATTTTAAAGGAAAGAGGAACTAAGACTAAGTTTTTGCAGTAAAGGAGAGAATTATTTATATTTTATAGAGTTAAAAGGAGATGAGGGACAGCTGGAATTAGGGTGACCAGGAGTGTAAATAAAGGATAATCTCTGCTAAGGATAGTGCTGGCATTAAAGGCTATTTTGGACATAGGAGAATCTGAGTACACCAACATTTACACTGTGGCACTATGACCCCTTTTTGTGGCTAGACCACATAGAGATGTATGATTTGGCTACAGCCTTTGCACTAGTACAGCCAGGTCTTCCTGCTCCGGCAGTAGGGGGGACTTGTGCTGTCATATTTATAGCTTCTAGGTTCAACCTCTACTCCTGACAACCCACACAAAGATGTTTTGATGCATACAGAAAGCATAATCTTGGGGTTGGGCACATATAGCTGACAATGGGGTGTGTTAATGGTATAGCAAATGATCTTCTATTTTTTTGCCACCAGTATCTAAAGACTATGTCTCTGCTCCTGAGGAGTAACAGCACCTACAAGCCAGATGATGGTGCCACACTACAGTACGCGCCAGAAATCATTTGTTCCTTAATTATCTTCATTGTCACCTTTATCCTGGGTCTCCTGGGCAATGGCTTGGTGATCTGGGTGGCTGGCCTGAAAATGAAGCGGACCGTGAACACTGTGTGGTTCCTGCACCTTGCCATGGCTGACTTCCTGTGCTGCATGTCTCTGCCATTCTCCATCATTCACCTGATCCTCCATGAGTACTGGCCATATGGCCACTTCCTCTGCAAGGTTATCCCATCAGCCATCATCCTCAACATGTTTGCCAGTGTCTTTCTCCTCACTGTCATCAGCATTGACCGGTGCTTGATGGTAATGAAACCAGTTTGGTGTCAGAACCACCGTACTGTGAGGCTTGCATCAGTGGTGTGCGGTTGTATCTGGCTCCTGGCCTTTCTTATGTGTTGTCCTGCCTTCCTCTACCGTGAGACCTTCACAGATGAATTCGGCAAAACTGTGTGTCATTATCAATTTGGAGATGATAGGGATTATGGAGATTATATGGATTACGGGAACGAGAATGATTCAGCGTTGAGCTCTGGCATATCCCTAGATGAAAATCCTGTTGGTTTCTCCAGTGCTGATATTTCTAGCAGCCTTTACAATGATACTGACTTACTGGGGAACTTGAATGATTACTTCTCCTACAGCAGTCGGCCAGCCACCCTACTGACCATCAGTATTACCAGGATTGTTTTTGGCTTCCTCCTTCCCTTTAGCATAATTGCAGCTTGCTACATCCTTATTGCCATCAAGATGCATGGAGCCCGATTTACCAAACCCCGTGGTAAGACCCTGCGAGTGATCCTGGTTGTGGTAGTAGGATTCTTTGTCTGCTGGGCTCCATTTCACACAGTTGAGGCACTGTCTCTCCTAGCTATGCCAGGCACCAGATTTAGGGAGACAGTGGCACTGTGGGACCACCTCTCTACAGCACTAGCCTATGCCAACAGCTGCATCAACCCTTTGCTCTACGTATTTGTGGGGCGGGACTTCAGGCGGAAGGCACGCCAATCAGTGCAGGGCATCTTGGAGGTCGCCTTCAACGAGGAAGTTACACGCTCCACTTCCTACTCACGGGACAGGACCAAGACTTCAGCAGACAGGGATATCAGCAGCAACACCCTCTAAAATGGGGATTCCAGACAGCACTGCCAGGGCAGGAGGAAGACATTTGCCCCTTCCATGGCTGTGACTTTTTGCTTAAGGACAGCAGAGCCAGAACAATGAGTTTGACAATAATCTGTACGGGATGCCCATGGGGACTGGGGCAGTTCAGAACAGGCCAACCTCCCCTTTAATAGCCTCCTAAAGAGAGGGGAGATTGGCCTATTCTGAACTGAATCTTCTGATGGGACACACAAGGGAGGCAGAGAGTCCCCTATCTGAGAGAGAGAAGTGCACTTGTGAGAAGATGTGTGGTGGCATTATGTAGTTACTCCTTGACATTACTAAATTAGAATGTGGTTGCAGAATATCTATGTACCACATTTATTAAGCATGTATCACATCATCTGTGCCTGCTAAATTACAGGGAGAAGATACTTTGACATTTCTCCTTGGAATTTGTCATCATACCTTTCCCTACCCTTAACTCTTCTTCAGCTGGGACCCTGAACTTTTTCACAGCAGTGCCCAGGAGGAGTGCACTCTGGGAGTGCTAGTTTTCCTCACAACAGTGCATTGTAGCAGACATCCCCTACCTGCTCATCAGCAATGGAAGCTGCCTCTCATGGCAATATTCTTATGGTCTTTCAGTTTCAGTTAGTCATGGCCTTTCTCCTGTCTTCCTACTATTCCTCCTACTATTCCTGTCTCCAAAGGGCCACTTCTCTTATTTTCCATGCCAGCTCAAGGAGAGTTTCTACATCTCAGCTAATACATCACTGCACAAAATCAGTAACTGGGGCATAAGGGGCAATTTTCAGAAAAACGAACCTCATGCTGTGGACATGGGTTCATTAGAAATAGGATCCTCCTTTATGGCTTTAGAAGGTCCCCTTGATATTACAGCCTGAGATACAGTGATAAGGTAGGTCCCACTAGTCATGGAGATGTCCCTACTACATCTAAAGCTGCTGGATACCCAAGCAATCAGAGCAGAGGTTTCCATCCAGCATGTAACCCTGAGCAGGCTGGAGCTGGGTCACCCCTTCTGTAAAATTTCAGAAGGGAGATGGCTGTGAAAGTGCTGTGCCTGAATTCAAACTGTATGCTTCCATTAGACACAAGAAAGGACTGAGAGATATGGAAGGAAGTGGCCACACAAATACACACAGTGCTAGAAATAGTCATGCACACAAAGAGCCATAGATTCACAGATTCATAGATATTTAGGTCAGAAGGGACCATTATGATCATCTAGTCTGACCTCCTGCACAACGCAGGCCACAGAATTTCACCCACCACTCCTACAAAAAAAACCTCACACCTATATCTGTGCTATTGAAGTCCTCAAATCATAGTTTAAAGACTTCAAGGAGCAGAGAATCCTCCAGCAAGTGACCCGTGCCCCATGCTACAGAGGAAGGCGAAAAACCTCCAGGGCCTCTTCCAATCTGCCCTGGAGGAAAATTCCTTCCCGACCCCAAATATGGCGATCAGCTAAACCCAAGAGCCAGTTGTTTCCTTCAGTGCAAAATCTTAGAGAGAGACCAGAGCCACAGTTCTGATCAGATATAAACTTCTCCAGTGCTCAGACGTACAAAGTAAAAGATGCATATGGAAAAGATTTAAAGCAAGGGAGCACTGTCTATACACGTGGACACTACCATGACTCCCAAGTCTCTGAGTGAAGATAAATGCTGCACCAAACAGTGGTGACATCATGATAGGGGTCTACTATACACCACAAAGCAGGAAGTGGGATGGATGAGGCATTTTTAGAACCATTAACAGAAATATCCAAAACATGAGACTTGGTAACAATGGGTGATTTTAACTACCCAGATATTTGTTGGGAAAGTGACCTAGCAAACCACAAAATTCCCGTAAGTCTTGGAATGTATTGGGACATCTTTTTGTTTCAGAAGGTGGAACAAGTAACAAGTGGGGCAGCTATTTTAGCCTTGATTCTGACTAACAGGGAGGAAATTGTTGCAATCTTAAGGTAGAAGGCAAACTGGGTGAAAGTGATCATGATATTCGAGATTTCCTGATTCGAAGGAAAGGAAGGAGTGAAGCAATGGACTTCCAAAAAGCAGCCTTTAACTAACTCAGAGAACTGGTAGGCAGGGTCCCCTGGGAAGAAAATCTAAGGGAAAAGGAATGCAGCAGAGTTGGCAATTTCTTAGAGAGACAATATTAAAGGTACAACTGCAAATGATCCTGATGGAAGGAAATATAGGAAGAATAGTAAGAGGCCAATATAGCTCCATCAGGAGCTCTTTAATGACCTGAGAACCAAAAAAGTGGAAACATGGATAAATTGCTACGGATGAATGCAAAAGAATAGCACAAGCATGTAGGAGCCAAATCAAAAAAGCTAAGGCACAAAATTAATTACACCCAGCAAGAGACATAAAAGGCAATAAGAACAGGTACTACAAATGTATTAGGAGCAAGGGAAAGGTGAAGGAAAGTGTAAATCCACTACTTAGTGGAGAAGGAGAGCTAATAACTGAGACATCAAAAAGGCAGAGGTGTTCACCGCCTATTTTACTTCAGTCTTCACTAATGAGGTTAATTGTAAGCCAATATTTAGGAAGGGGCAAGGAACACAAGCTAGAATAGGGAAAGAACACATTAAAGATTATTTAGGTAAGTTGGCTGTCTTCAAGTCAGAAGGGCCTCACAAAATTCAAGTTAGGATATTTAAGAAACTAGTTGAAGCAATCTTTGAACTGCTAGCAATTATCTTTGAGAACTCATGGAGGGCAGGTGAGGTCCCAGAGAGCTGGAGAAGGGCAAACATAGTACTTATATTTAAAAAGGGGAACAACAAGGACTCAGGAGATTATACACCAGTTAACCTAACTTAAATATCTGGAAAGACACTGGAACAGATTATTAAACAATAAATTTGTGAGCACCTAATGGATAGTAGGGTGGTAAGTAACAGCCAACATGGATTTGCCAAGAACAAATGATGCCAAACTAACCTAATTTCCTTCGTTGACATTGTTACTAGCCTAACGAATGGGGGGCAAGGGAGGGATAGCAGTAGACGTGATATATCTTGATTTTAGTAAGGTTTTGACACAGCCCCACATGACATTCTCATAAGCAAACTAGGGAAATATGGTCTAGATTAAGTTACAATACAATGGATGCACAAGTGGTTGAAAGACTGTACTCACTCAAGGAGTTATCAATGGTTTGCTGTCAAAATGGGGTAGGGAATGGAAAATATCTCATGGGTAAACACTGGGGTCAGTCCTGGGTCCGGTGCTATTCAATATTTTCATTAATGGCTGGGATAAGTGTGCTTATGAATTTTGCAGATGATATCAAGCTGGGAGGGTTGCAAAGACTTTGGAGAACAGGATTAGAATCCAAAATGACCTTAACAAATTGTAGAATTGGTCTGAATTCAACAAAATGAAATTCAATCAGGCAAATGATTCATTTAAGTAAGAAAAAAAAAAAAGTACTTCATTTAAGAAAGAAAACCCAAATGCACGCCTATAAAAATGGGAATAACTGCCTACATGGTAGTACTGTTGAAAAGGATCTGGGGTTATAGTGGATCACAAATTGAATACGAGCCAACAATGTGAAGGCTAATATTCTAGCATGTATGAACATGAGTGTCGTATTTAAGACACAGGAGGTAACTGTCCCATTCTACTCCGCCCTAGTAAGGTCTCAAGTGGAGTACTGTGTTCAGTTTTGGCCACCACAGTTTAACTACTTACTGTGGTACGTAACCTATTGCTTAAATCAGCCTCTGTACCAGTTGACTGGAGGAAACCTAATGTGATGCCAATTTTTAAAAAGGGTTTAAGAGGTGATCCTGGACATTACAGGCCAGTAAGCCTAACTTCAGTACCAGGCAATTAAAGAACAGAATTAGCAAACACACAGATGAACATATGTTGGGGAAGAACCAACATGGCATTTGGAAAGAGAAATCATGCCTCACCAATCTACTGGAATTCTTGAAGGCATCAACAAGCACATGGACCTGGGTGATCCAGTGGCTACAGTTTACTTGGACTTTCAGAAAGCGTTTGATAAAGTCCCACACCAAAGTCTCTTAAGCAAAGTAAGTTGTCATGGGATAAGAGGGAAGGCCCTCTCATGGATCAGTAACTGGTTAAAAGACAGGAAACAGTGTAGGGAATAAATGATCAGCTTTCACACAGCATCTCTGGTGGGACCAGTGCTGTTCAACATATTCATAAATGATCTGGAAAAAAGGAATAAACAGTGAGATGGCAAGGTTTTCAGGCAATACAAAAATCACTCAAGATAGTTCATTCCAAAGCTGAATGCAAAGGGTTACAAACTGGGTGACTGGGCAACAAAATGGCAGATGAAATTCAATGTTAATAAATGCAAAGTTATGCAGTGCAGTGACAGGCAGATAATTAAAAATACAAACATTTCCCATTACATTTTGGGTAGTTCCATGCTGCCTTTCTGCTGTGCATCATGCAATGGACAGAATGAATAGGCTGAGACTGACTGATCTACATGAAGTGTAAAGATTCAACAGTGCAGCTCTTTCACTGTCTTCCCTACAGAGGGTCTTGATTTCATATCTGACTTTGGTGCAGGCAGCTACAATAGCTCCTCCTCTCTCTCCAGGCTATGCAGGTAGGAGCCAAACCCTAACAATAAAGTTGATAAATCTTGTGTTTCGCCCGACCAGCCGCCACTGAAAAATAATTCAACACCAGCACCAAAAGGGTTAAACCATAAACATTCACTTTTTCTTTTTATTAAGAAAGCATGCACAAAAATAAACTCGTGAGGCCACACCCCTTCTCCTCTCTCCTTGACACAAAGCATCATGGGCCACACCAAAGTGCAAGGGGGTGCAAGGGACTCCTCTCACTTGCAGGCTGATCTCCATTGACTGCATCCCTTCACTCCTGACAGGCTATGTCACCAGCTTGCAGTGCAGTTCCAGTGCGAAGCCCTTTGACTCCACGAGTCCAATCCGATGCCATCTTGCCCACAAATGATGCACGATATTTCAGGGGTGGGGGCAAGGCTAATTTGCACACTGACCGGCATATATTTACATATGCAAATGATGCGCAACTGAATATGCAAACAAGGCAAATGAATATGCAAGTGAGGAGCACTTGACTATGCAAAGGAGCCATCTTGGTTTGTTTTCAGGGTTCTCTGAAAGGCCAAACGGCCTTCTGAATGACTTCCATGGGCCCGGCTCTTGGGAACATCCCCTGCAAAGCACTGAGTGGCACCCGGAGGGAGGTCATCTCTGCTGCTCTGTGCCACAGAAACCCAACCGAACACGGCTTCCTGGTCATATCATTCCCATCCTGGGCAGCAGAGAGAACCGCTGGCTAACTCCATGCTGAAGCCAACTCTGGGATTCCCCACTCCTCTTGGGAATGCTCAATGATGACCACGCCCACTTAAAAAAAACAACAACAAAAAACAGTACCCCCCCCACCCACCCCTCAAATCCAACGAGACTGTCCATCTTCCCGACAAAGATCCAATTGGTTTATCTCAACAGCAAATTATAAAGCGATGCAAAATTATTTCCCCCACCCTTGGCATGTTGAGTCCCCATGATGGTTTGCTTCCAACTTGGTTCCCCTCACCAATAAACAGGGGCTAGGGAGTTACAAAATAGAAAGAGGAAACAAGAGGTTTGACAGAACAGAGCCACGCTAGAAACAGGGGGACAGCCAGGGGACACAACTGGGGGGACGGCAGCTAAACACTCATTCCTGCTTCAACACGGCTTCCCCATCCTGCTTTGCAAGTGCTCACACAGAGACTGGATTTTGGGATGTGCTAACTCTTCACCCGCTCTCTCTCCAGCTGACCTATGAGTGGCCTGACCCATCCTCCCCATTCCTCCCTTTGGCTGTGCAGTTTAAATATCTGCCCCACACCTCCTGTCCTGTCATTTGTGCTTCTGAAACATAACAACTGTGAAGCCTCACACCTCTTCAACCTGGGGGGGGGGGCACACTCCAATCTCTAACCCACAAGTCCCCAAATCTTCCTCAACACAGAGCAGTGGCTTCTTCTTTTTATCCTTGGTTCACTCCTGAAATGGAAATCACCCACTGTGTATTTATAACTATGCAGACAAGACTCCCTTTGCTTGCATCCTTACACCACAGGCAAGGACAGCCTCCAAAGAAATTAAGGGGGGGAATAACTAACAGAAAAAGAACTGAGGGGTAGGGGGAGTGATTCCTAATTTGTATGTGTCTTCTTTGGATATGCAAATAAAAGCTTCACTATATTTTTATGGAAGGTGATGGGGCTGGGGGAGGGGAAAGGTGACGTTAAAAGCCTTTGGGGAATTCTATTTGATGTGCTGTTTCCGATCCCCCCAGTGCTGGTGCAAAATACACCTGCTAAGCTTCCCCTACTTGACAGGTGGGCTTCACATTCCCAGGGACTGCAAAAGTCAGCATAGAAAACAGGTCAGGGTTCCCGCTGATCTCCTTACAAATGGCAATGGTCTCTGAATCCCAAATGCATCTGTGCAAGAAATTCTCCTTTTTCTGCACTCAGGGCCTTCCTCTCCCAGCTCGGCCCAAATCCCAGCTGTATCTCACCCCCATAGAGATTTTGCTTTCTTTATATTCAGGGTCTTCCTTCCTTCTCTTGCCGTCCCTTGCTGGTGTGAGAATGATCACGGAGCTAAAATCACCCCTCCAGTGTCCCTTTGAGCCCCTGACCTTTACAACATTTACCAAACAACATAATTACAGGCTCCCAGGGTCCACTAGGCTCTCTCACTCCGGTAGCCAGTACAACAGATTCACCGGCAAAAAGGGATTGTTAAACACAAAATGAGGGAGGCAGAGAAAGATGCTCTTGAGGTTTCGGCCTTCTGAGGTCTTGTCATGGCATCAGGGAGCCATCTCTCCACCCTCCGCCCCACGCAGGGCACCACGCAATGTGGGGGAGCCGATCTGATGTGTCCGAGGCCAGTGGGGGAGAGCCGTGCTCGATTACTGATAATAATAATAATAATAATGAAGAAAAGAAAAAAAAGAAGGTAAAACAGGACGCAAGGAAGGATTATCTTCGGCAGCATCTTGCGGTGGCTTCTCTGGCGCAGAGAGAGAATATATATCTATATACAGGCAAGGCAGGGAGGCCAGGACAGCTGGACCTGCGACCTTTCACCCCATGCCCCCCTTCCCTCCCAGGTCCCTCACAAGGGACAGGCTCTCGAGTCTGTAACGCGCTAGGTGATCAAGTCCCAGTCAAAATCGTCGGGGATTTCCTCATTGGCGCCTGGAGGAGGGACTGGAGGTCGGGGGACCAGATGGTGAGCTGAGTGGAGGGGGAAGAGGGAGAAAAAGGGAAAGAGATGGTTAGCGGAGAAGTCAAGCTCTGTCCTAGTGGGTTCTTGGGAACAATAAAAGGGGAAGGACTCAGCTGGCGTGAACTTCCCCAGAGAAGTGACCTGCCAGGACACACGCAGCACACGTTTCCACCCCAAGGCAGTGTCCTATCAGTGTCCAGATTGGGAGCAGGGGCTCAGGTGATCTAAGGGTAACTGCAGCAATGGGAGATTCCCCATGAGCTGCCCTCAACAGTGTTCAGTCAGCATCTAACTAAGGCCTAAGGAGTCTGGCAGCATGAGCTCCCTCACAGCAGTGCCCAGTGAGCACCCAGCTGTGGGAAAGTGGTGTGACGGGGCAACGAGATGGGGCGGGGGCGGTGAGAGGAGTTGGGCAATTGAGCTTGCTCTCACCAGTGCCGTGGCAGTATCCTGCTGCGGGACCTCCTGCAGTCTAGGCTCCCTCAGCCCTACTCCAGCTCTCTGACAGAGAGGGGAAAGGCCCTGCTAGAATGTGCTGCTGGACGGCTGAGACAGCTGGGGTGAGAGTTGTATTACATGTCATCATTTCACCACTTACCTGGGCGATTATACCCTGGATTGTCCTGGGTGGAAATCTGGTACATAGGAGATGGCCCGGAGAAGAGATGGGGAGGCTGTGGCTGACCATAAGAGTTCACTGCCAAAGGAAAGGGAAAAGAACCATCAGTGATCCCCTCAGCCAGCTCGCCTGGCACTGACTGGGCGTCGCAGCTCAGCCACAGAACAGACTGACTGACACGCTCCAGGGAGAATCAGGAAGTGTTCAGTGGACAGGCCCTGACAACCTGTTACAGCTCAGCCACGGTACCAAAACCATATTGTTATTCTACTGGGTTAAAGTGGGGAATTTTGGCCCATCACCCCCTTCCTAGACATGTCCCAAGTCGGGTCAAAATCAAGCTGCTGCAAGGCCATGATCTCTCCTCACTGCCCTTGTCCGCTCCTCATAGAGCATCATCCTACTCTCTCTCCTACCACAGGATCTTCAGTGCAGGGGAGACCATCTTCTTCTCTCTAGCTCCTACCATCTGGAACAGCCACTCTGGCACCTCTCCACAGACCATCGACAAAACACCTCTCACCTCCTCTTTTTGCCTGTGTGCTTTCTAATTGCTTTCTGTCTGGGTTATTGGCTGCTCAACCACACATACCAGATAATGCCTTCACACCACTATGCACTGTGTTATGAGCACATACATCCCCATCTCTCCTGTACTAAACTCTCTAGAGCCAGGTAGGACCAGTGCTTCATTTGTGCCAAGGCTGGTCAGGCCTGAGCCCCG